TTGGTGTGTGCTGGTCAAAGGGCTTGAACACAGAACCTTGGCTTCTCCCACTTAGGCCACAGCTCCACTTACTTTTGGTAGTTAATTGGAGTGTCTCACAGATTTTCCTACTTAGGCTAGCTTTGAACTGCGATCCTCAGATCTCAGCCTCCTCACCAGCCACAAATATCTGATTAGGGTGTAGTAAGACAGAGATTCTTTTTTTTTTTTGGTCAGTGGTAGGGTTTGGACCCTAGGCCTAGGTGCTGTCCCTCAGCTCTTTAGCTCAAGGCTAGCGCTCTACCACTTGAACCACAGCGCCACTTCTGTTTTTCTGGTGGTTAATTGGAGATAAGAGTCTCAGGGACTTTCTTGCCCTGGCTGGCTTTGAATATCGATCCTGAGGTTTCAGCCTCCTGAGTAGCTAGGATTACAGGTGTGAGCCACCAGCACCTGGCTAAACAGAGATTCTTAAAGGAGTCATACTAAGCAACTAGAAAGGGTTAACCTGGGGAGAAAAATGGAGACACATGGCAAGCTTTTGATATCTGGGATAATAGCTGACATGAAGTACCAGAGCTATGTTTAGTATAGAACCAAAGCCAACTAGCCAGGCAATGGTGGCTCACACCTGTAATCCTAGCTACTCAAGAGGCTGAGACCTGAAGAGCACAGTTCAAAGCCATCTCTGGCAGGAAAGTTCATGAGACTTATCTCCAATGAACCACCACAGCATCCAGGCCCTGAATTTAAGCCCCACAACTAACAAAAACAAAAACAAAAACTCAGCTAACTAACTAAAGCAACATCAAAAATAGCTTTCTGAAAATGAGATCTGAGGGTAGAATGGGGCACCCAAGAGCTAGAGATCCCCACCTCTGATAATGCCAATAGAAGCTAGAGCTCTCATTTCACATAGTGAAATTATGATTTTTTCTCTCATGCTTTATAGCAAATACATAAATTTAGTAACACTGGATTTTATGATAGCCAGATCACTGAGTACAGGAGAGCCAGGGGATGATCAAAGAGAAGAGGTAGGAATGTACATTAAAGGAGGAATCTTTTTTTTTTTGGGGGGGGGGGGCGGGGAGGGTGTGGTCCGGTCATGGGGCCTGAATTCTGGGCCTGGGCACTGTCCCTCAGCTCTTCAGATCAAGGCTAGTGCTCTACCACTTGAGCCACAGCGCCACTTCTGGCTTTTTTCTTTTTCTTTTGCTTATGTGGTGCTGAGGAATCAAACCCAGGGCCTCATGCATGTAAGGCAAGCGCTCTACCACTGAGCCACCTTCCCAGCCCTGGAGGAATCTTTAAAAAAAAAAAAAAATTAACAGTGTTTTTTGCCTGGCATCAATGGCTCACACCTGTAATCCTCGCTACTCAGGAGGTTGAAATCTGAAAGTCACAGTTCAAAGCCAACCCAAGCAAAACAGGGAAATTTTATTTTATTTTATTTTATTTTGGTCCAGTTGTGGGGCCTGAACTCTGGGCCTGGGCGCTGTCCCTCAGCTCTTCAGCTCAAGACTAGCGCTCTACCACTTGAGCCACAGAGCCACTTCCGGCTTTTTTCTTATGTGGTGCTGAGGAATCGAACCCAGGGCCTTGAGCATGCAAGGCAAGTGCTCTACCATGAGCCACCTTCCCAGCCCCAAAACAGGGAAATTTAATCTGCAACAAACTACCAAAGTCAGAGTGGAGCTGTGTCTGGCTCAAGTTGTAGAGTGCTAGCAAAAGAAGCTCAAGGACGTCGCCGAGGCTCTGAGTTCAAGCCTGAGGACTAGTGCTGCACACACACGCACTCACACACATACACACACTACAGCTGGGAGTGGTGGTACACACCTGTGATCCCCATGCTCAGGAGGTGAAGACAAGAGGATCATGAGTTTTAGGCCACTTTGAACTACTGAGTCATAGCAGGGCCCTTTCCTCTTTTTTTTTTTTTTAAAGAAAAACATGCCAGGTGCCAGTGGCTCACACCTGTAATCCTAGCCACTCAGGAGGCTGAGATCTGAGGCTGTTGGTTCAAAGCCAGCCCAGGCAGGAAAGGCTGTGACTCTTTTATCTGCAATTAACACCAGAAAACCGGAAGTGGTGCCGTGGCTCAAGTGGTAGAGCACTAGCCTTGAGCTGAATAGCTCAGGGACAGCACCCAGGCCTAGAGTTCAAGCCCCATGACCAACAAAAAAATAAGATATATAGATGAGATACTGTATTTTGGGCGTTGTCTTTAAAATCTAATATACATTTTACTTAAGACATTTCGATTCACACTAGCTACCTTTCAGACACTTGATAACAGTATGTGTCTGGTGGAATCATATTGAACAACTACTACATAACAGTTACCCTTGTTCTTTTTTTTTTTAATAGTAAGGATCATTCGTCTATATTTGCTTAATTCTAATAATTAGATTTTAATCATTCCAATTCATTTAAAATTAAAGTAACTTGAATGACTTTAAAATAACATGTATTTTCAGTTAACACAAACTACTGTAAAAAGTCTCAAATTTACCAATGTTACAAGGTATATATATATATATATATATATATATGTATATATACTTGAACTCTGGGCCTGGGCGCTGTCCCTGGGCTCCTTTTGCTCAAGGATAGCATTCTACCATTTGGGCCACAGTGCCATCTCTGGCTTTTTCTGTGACTAAGAGTCTCATGGACCTTCCTGCCCAGGCTGGCTTCAAACAGTATCCTCAGGTCTTAGCCTTCTGAGTAGCTAGGATTACAGCAGTGAGCCACCAACACCTAGCTAAGAATTAAAAATATTGTGAAATACCAACAGTATCTTCTCTTAGTATATATTAATCTACTACAGCCCTTTAAACATAACAACTCAGTATCTTCTCTTAGTATATATTAATCTACTACAGCCCTTTAAACATAACAACTAAGTTTTTTTCTAAAACAAAAGAACATTCTAGGTGAGTACCTTCTCCAAAGTAATCAGTTAGTCTGGAATTTGTGGTATTGGCATCTATTACAGAATGGAGAAAATGTCTTCTAAATTGCTGGGTGTAGTGATAAAGATAGTGAATAGCAGTGATTTTCACCATCAACTACAAGTGGCCAATCCTAAAGTTATGCCAAAGAACCTGCCAAAAATGGACTAGTCCTTACAGTAATACATTCCTACAGAGTACTCACTCCTAGCAGCATACCTATCTGTCTTTAGCATCATGAAATATTCCAGTATTCCAATATATTTTCCTTTGCCTAAGAGCTTGAGTATCTCTCCCTTGCAATTAGTTTTACTTAGTACCTAATAAGAGAAAAATGAGTAAAACATTTTGGCAAAATGTGTATTAGTATTTGAAACAAAGTAAATTAAGCACACAAGCAACTACTGTTGCAGTAATGTTAGAAAATTCTCATTATTTTGCTTAGAAGGACTTACGATTGTAAGTCTAGATAAGTATGGTCTTCTAATTTCTTCTAGTTAAGCCTTTCAGTTCTCCATGTTTATTTCATTGCAAAATTAGTGTGAAGTCATGTAAGTGAGCAAGAAATGACACATTCCTGAAGGATCAAGTTGGAAAGAAAAAGCATCTTCTCATTTTGGCTTTGAACTGAATCCAGGTCTTTTGAACAGCAGAGCCATTGTTCGTTCGAATAAGTGATGCTGTATTTTGGTGCAGAAGATCAGTGTCCAGTCATGTTGATAGGAAATATACATTTATTTATCCAATGACAACCGTCAGCAGATGCTGAGTAACAGAGTAAGCAAGATACATTCTTGTTCAGGAGGAACTTGTTGTCTAGTGACTATGCACAAACCTCTTTGCTCTAGAAACAGAACCTAAGCCCAGATTTGGTATGGGGGAAGGTTGTGATTTGTGGCTGCACTGTAAAGTATGATTCACTCAATTAGGCAAAAGATGTAATTAAAGTTCTGAGATAGGAAAAAAACATAGTGAATCTTCATAGCACCGTCTGGTGGTAGGGAATGGGACTTTTCTACAAGGTATAAGGAAAGCAGACCTGGTCTACTACCTGTATTCATTTCTGTCCACCTAAAATGTAAACAAGATTTTAAGTTATGGCAATGTAACCCCCCCGCAAAGAAATAAAAATGAATCAAATCTTCGGAGTTATTTAGTACATACAGGATGTTTGCTTCCCTTTCTCAGTTCCCTATCACTGTTACAGCTTGCCTCACATATTTTTTCTGTTGTAGTTTTCAGTACCATAATGCTGTTAAACATTTTTAACCTACTGATTGTTGACTGTGTGCTCTACTAGGGCAAAGCCCTATGTATATTATTTGTGAGGAAATCCTTAGGAGTTGCCTAGCATAAATAGGTACTTATTTAGCCCTTGAATGAACAATTTTTTTTAATGAATGACTACAAGTATATCATCTTGAGGAGAGGGAGAGGTGTCACCTGAGAGAATACTTTATTATAAACCTAAAGATCTTAGAATATGAACTAAGCCACTATGTGGGGGGGGGGGGGGGGGGGGGGAGGCTATGTCCAGCCATGGAGAACTGAAAGGCTTAACTAGAAGAAATTAGAAGACCATACTTATCTAGAGATGGTTTTTCCTATTCAAAATGTCAACTACTGAAAATGAATGACTAAATGGGAACTGGCTGTAGCAGTTTCACAACTCTGATACAGAAATGTGTGTTTGACTATTTGCAGATGTATAGCTGACACCTCACAAGGCATCCAGCCAACTATCTTTTGAGATTTCAGACTACCAAAAATACCTAAAGAAGTTCAAAAGATGGGACTGAATGATTTACAGACCAAAAGGTGAGTACTATCAGCCAGCTAGGTATTAATTAGAAAAAAATCATTTATTTCTGCTCTTTTCATACATCATACTGCCCAGGAGACAGTTCCAAATCCGCATCCACAGAAGCATACTAGCACACACTGTTTAAAGGCAAAAGCACCAATGGAGAAGTGACTCAGCCACCAAGAGCTCACAGATCTTGCCTCTGTGTCGAACTTCTTAAAATCAGAAATGTCATCTCCAAAAACCAATGTCAAGGAGACTGTAAAAAATAATCACTTTATTCAATATTATAGTTTAAGAAGTGGAGTATTTTTTTTTTCCTTTAAGAAATGAAAAACTAAGAAAATGCCACTTAACATGGTTGGGTTATCAGCACAGCTCAGCAGCAAAAAAATACTGTGATAAACTTGTCTCTGATACCAAGAAATTCTAGTATGGGCTTTAATGTGCTTCCTAGGTTTTCACTCAGGCTTCTTTTCCTGCTGTTCTCCATTCCTTTCCACATTTCATAGAGGATTGGTACAGACTTCCAAAATTCATTCACAGGAGCAAGTCTGGAGTCCACTGATTTCTTCTCAAAAGGCACCCTATCCCATCAGATAGCCTCTGCAGAAATAAAATGAATACATGTAACAGGTGAGCAGAAAGCAACGCTGCAAAAGGTCAAATTTTATGATGAATCAAATAACAAGCCCAAAATATAACTGTTACTTTGCACTACAGTTCTGGCTAAGACCTTTCCCCCATCAACCCAAAAAAAACAAATGACTAGACCTCAGTTCTATTATTCCTCCCCTCAAAGAATAAAGTTACAAAGCAATACTAAATATACAGATTAAGAAAAATAAGCAAAGAAAATAGTATGTAAAAGTTAAGATTCAGAAGCAAACTAGGTGTGGTGGCTAATGCCTGGCATCTTAGCACTCAGGAGGCTGAGGCAGAAGGATAAAGGGCTGGAGTCCAGCCTACGATGCACAGCAGGACCTTAACTCAGAAAGTCAAAGTCCTATCTTCTTCGGACCCTTAAAATTTAGTCAGAACTAAACTTTTTAATGAAAATTGGCTTGGATTTCTGAAAACCCTAGTTATTATCAGAAGGGACAAAAAGAATGGGGAGCTACTCACCGAGGGACATCCATCCAGAGCCCTCGAGAATGTGCGCAATCCTTTGCCTCTGCACCTCTCTTTGTTTCGGAAATACCTGGGGAACAGCTAGGGGCTTTTGCTGTACCTGTTAATGAACTCACACTTCATGTTCATCAACTAGAAGATCCTTTTATTAAACAGACAAGCTAGATCCCCAAATCTCCTTTAAATGAAAGGCTTATATTTGGCATGATAAACTTCTAAGCTTTTCATGTTATGATAAACTCTTGGATCTATTAAGAGGTAATATGCAGGATCAGAAAAATAGAAAAAAAACTATGTGATACTATGCATACTGGGAAAGGATCTAAAACCCTTGATAGCCGGACATGGGTTGCTCACACCTGTAATCCTAGCTACTCAGGAGGCTGAAATCTGAGGGTTGTGGTTCAAAGCCAGCCTGGGCAGGAAAGTCCGTGAAACTCTTATCCCCAATAAACCACCAGAAAACCGGAAGTGGTGCTGTGGCTCAAGTGGTAGAGTCCTAGCCTTGAGCTGAAGAGCTGAGGGACAGCGCCCAGGCCCAGAGTTCAGGCCTCACAACCAACCAAAAACAACAAAACAAACAAACAAACAAAAAACCTTGACAGCTTCAGAACCTCTCCTTGTGGCTTTGTCTCTGCCACTCACTAGGAGAAGGCTGGGGAAGCCTGACTCAGTTTTCTAATTTGTAAAACTAAGTTACTGCATTGTGTTTTATGATTTATGGTACCTATTATTCTAATAGAATTTCAAGTTTCTTCACCTGAAAGGTATGGTTTAAAAACTAGTGAAGCCAGCCAGGCACCAGTGACACACCTTTAATCCTAGCCACTCAGAAGACTGAGATCTGTGGATCAAGGTTTGAAGCCAGCTAAACTATATGAGGTTCTCAGCTGATTAGCCAGCAAAAAGCCAGAACTGGAGCTGTGGTTTAAGTGAAAGAGAGACAGCTGTGAGCAACAAAAAACCCAAGTGAGAGTTTGAGGTGCTGAGTTCAAACCCTAATACCCAGCACAAAACCAAACCAAAACTAGTGCCTACTACAGTGCTTCGTTCAAGGCAAACACTCAACAATCTGATTTTCCTCCTCTTAATTTCTTAACTCCATACAAGGCTGTGTACAGCCAAGGCAACCTACGTGGAATTCATACTCTTATCCTTCTACAGTAATACCCTGACTAATCCATACTTTAATACATTAACCCTAATATAACCAATACTTCCCAAATTCCTCACCTGACCATTGAAAAAAATGAGAAAAAGGCCCTTTAGATATATGCAGTGATTTGGAAGATATCGCATAAACTATTATAACTAATGTTTCAACAAGAAGGATATTTTAAGACCTAGGCTTCACAACACAAGAAATATCTGACAAGATTCAAAGCAAGCATGTGCTGATGTGTGTGTCCAGAAGGATCTCCCCAGCTGTCTTCCTCTAAAGAGGACTCTTTCCAGACAGGTTCCTGTCATCTTTATATCCGATTTCCCTACCCTCAAGCTTGGATTTAATCAATAATCTTGAGTACTGACCTCTACCAGGGATTAAAGACAAACATTTACATCATTGCAAAAGAAGCAATTCCAAGGATTATACAATTTCCAGGGATTTTTTTTTACAAGCAATAGGTAATAGGCTCAATTAACTTAATAATCAAATGCCTGAGCTAAAAAATAAACACTTCTTTTCTCATTTAACATACTTCCTAGGGATAGAACCCACAACTAAAATAACAAGTAAGAAAACTAGAAAGAGTAAGAGCAGAACCCCTCCTATGGACAAAAACAGCTCATTCTGTTTGCTAGAGAATGGGGTAGGAGTCTCCATTTTTTGCTGCTCTGCTATGGAAAAGCCTCTTCCAACACCAATAAATTTTACTGGCTGAGATGAGTTATTTCCAATATGAACAGTGCAAAAAGGGAGATAAAACAGCTGAAGTACCTAAGTCTTCACATAGTTAGGCATTGATCAGAACTGTTTCCCCAGTCAAAAGTAGGAGCCACTGACAAAGGAACTTGCCGGGCTACATGGCTACATAAAAAACCAAATGAAAAAGATCTACATGCAGTCTCTTCCCATCCAGCCAGAGCTACCTCAGGAGCATGACTACAGGATGAGCAGGCCTGACTTTCTAAGAGAAGCCTACCCATTCCATTCTACCCCAGAGAAGCCTACCCATTCCATTCTACCACAGAGAAGCCTACCCATTCCATTCTACCCTAGATGTTACTGACGACAGACAGAATGAGGCATAGAACAAGAAAACTTCTAAAATTCAAACACACTAGGAAATCAACATAGACGGTGGTATCTGACATTTAATGCAATCCCTAAAAAATAAAATAAAATTACCAAGAGTTTCTCTTTTGGGGATGCTTGTCCAAAGTTCCTAGTTATTTATGTGATCAGACTCACCTACACTTCAAATTAATGGTGCCAAATAGAAATATGTTTCTACAAAGCCAATTTCTTTTTCTTCCAAGATTTTAAAATAATTTTTTTTTGGGGGGGGGGGGGCGGGGGTCCAGTAGTAGGCCTGAACTCTGGGCCTGGGCGCTGTCCCTCAGCTTTTCAGCTCAAGGCTAGCGCTCTACCACCTGAGCCACAACGCTACTTCCGGCTTTTTTTCTTTTTGCTTATGTGATGCTGGGGAATCAAACCCAGGGCCTCATGCATGCAAGGCAAGCGCTCTACCACTGAGCCACCTTCCCAGCCCCCAAGGAGATTTTAAACAAATATAGCAGTGGTGCTCACTAGACTCTATGTTGAAAATGAACTATACAACCTGGTGGGGACAGAAGGGAAAACTAGGATAGAGTGAGGGAAGTGGTACAATGTACAAAAAGAAATGTACTCTTAGTCGAGCGCTGGTGGCTCACACCTGTAATCCTAGTTACTCAAGAGGCCAAGATCTGAGGATCATGGTTCAAAGCCAGCCAGGGTAGGAAAGGCCACTGTGAGAAGCTTATCTCCAATAAACCACTCAGAAAACCGGAAGTGGCACTATGGCAAGTGGTAGAGCGCTAGCCTAGAGCTGAAGAGCTGAGGAACAGTGCTCAGGCCCAGAGTTCAAGCCCCACAACTGACAAGAAGAAAAAAAAAAAAGAAATGTACTCTTTACCTGACTTATGTAACTATAATTCCTCTGTACAGCACCTTTATAATAAAAATTTTTTTAAGAAAAAAGGTATTTTAAATATCCTGAGTTAAAATAATCTTTAAAATATATATTATAGCCGGATGCCAGTGGCTCATGCCTGTAATCCTAGCTACTCAGGAGGCTGAGATCTGAGGATCGCGGTTCAAAGCAGCCGGGGCAGGAAAGGCTGTGAGTCTCTTATCTCCAATAAACCACTCCAAAAACAAGAGGTGGCGCTGTGGCTCAAGTGGTAGAGCTGAAGAACTGAGGGACAGCACCAAGGCCCAGAGTTCAAGCTTCAAACCTTTTAGCCTATTCCTTTCCTTAAGGAATGTAAGGGGTAACACTGATCAAGCTGCATTGTATACATAAACTGCTTTGTTAACTGGCAAATCTTTTGTGCAACTAAAGATAATAAAATAAATATAAAAATAAAGTTATGTTTTATGTTGTATTTTTATGTTTTAAATATACCTACACACAGGCCTAAAGTCATTTTATATAAGACTTTTAATAACTCTGTGCCTGAAACAAAGTTTCATGGATTGGAATTTGCTACTTGTGACATTATGCTGGTGGTCAGAAAGCTTTGCACTCTGGACTTTTGGGACAGAAATGCAGAACCTTAACCCAACACTGCAAGAGCAACAACAATTACTGGCTTGAAAATCTTCCTTACTACTATTAATACTGGAGTCTTATTTTAGGTATTTTGAAGAAAAAACAAACAAACCATCTCCAGTCTCAATGCTACAGGAAAATAAAGTTTTTCATAAACACGCATGGGTAAAAAACCAAAACGACTATAACCTAAGGCAAGTCAATCATGTTAGAAATTCCTTTGATTTTTCATCTGTTTAAATGAGTGTTAAACAAGTGTCCTGATTTTATGTTGTCTGAGTAATTCTTTTGCAGTTCGTACCAAAAGTTAAAATTGTTTATTCTGTAAAATGTATGTAAACTTACGGCAGTTTCATTCTCATGAATACCCGCGCCATGAAAAAGCTCAAAAGGACACAGACAAATCCAATGAATAGCAGAAGGAACCTATTCAGTTTGGGAATATTTGGTGCATTGGATCGGTCCAGGATTATGAAACCTAAACCTCCCATTGTAAACAGGAAGCTGGATGCAAGGCCTTCCATAATGTACTGTCCATTTACTCTGAAAGAGAGAGAGCATGGCAACACAAATGAACATTTTTAGAAAAGGAAAGCTCCTCGTAGATTAAAATTTCAATTTCTGTTGACATTAATTAAAACATTTTTGTGCTAACCTTCTTTTCTAACTCTTAACAACCACTCATTAAGCCTCTGCATAGTCATCTGCACATTCATCCAACAAATACTTATGGAGAGGCGTATATATACCAGCCACTATTCTAGTATGTTCTAACTATGCAAGCAATGAATAAAACAGACAAAAACCTTTGCCTTGGCTAGGAATGTAGCACAGTGGTAGAGCACATGCCTAGCTGCCTGGATTTACCCCACTCCCCCACTTCCTGAGAGAAGGAGTGATCTGTCTTCATAAAGTTTATGTTCAAAGTATTTTTAAAACATCAACTAATGTAGGGTCTGGGAAGGTGGCTCAGTGGTAGGTACAGTGCTTGCCTTGCATGCATGAGGCCCTGGGTTCAATTCCTTAACACCTCATAAGAAGAAAAAGCCAGAAGTGGTGCTGTGGCTCAAGTGGTAGAGCACTAGCCTCGAGCTGAAGAGCTGAGGGACAGTGCCCAGGCCCTGAGTTCAGGCCCCATGACCGACCAAAAAAGCAAAAAAAAAAAAAAAAATCAACTAATGTCTACATAAGATCAATATACATCTTAATTATTAGCTTAAAAGTCAATTATGTATTTGAACTCAACACAGAAGCAAAGCTTTCAAATGTTATGCCACTTTAATTTCTGCTTGTGATCTCAAATTAATTTTCAATTGATTTTTTTAATTAAGTTTGAACTTTCCAAGAAATGTTTCTTGGAAGCTGCCAGTGCCAGTGGCTCAAGCTTATAATCTTAGCTACTCAGTAGGCTTAGGACTGACTAGAGGACTACAGTTTGAAGCCAGCCAGGAAGAAAAATCTGTAGGACTCCGTCTCTACTTAACTGACAAAAATTAGGGCTGGAGACGTGGCTCGATGCTAGTCTGATTTTCCTAGGAATACAGTTTTGTTAAATTTTCAGTTCGGGGACCTCAAATTTCTCCATTTAAGAAATACCTATGGAGAGCTGGGCACTGGCAGCTCACTCCTGTAATTCTAGCTACTCAGGAGGCTGAGATCTGAGGATGGCGGTTCAAAGCCAGCCCAAGCAGGAAAGGCTGTGAGACATTTATCTCCAATAAACCACTCAGAAAACTGGAAGTGGCACTGTGGTACAAGTGGCACTGCACTAGCCTTGAGATGAAAAGCTGAGGGACAGTACCCAAGCCCAGGCCCAGAGTTCAAGCCCCATGACCATCCAAAAAAAAAGAAAGAAATACCGAGGGGGGGGGGGGGGAATGAAGCGGGGGAGTAAGGGGGGGTTGGAGGGGGGGTTTACAGAAAAGGTGGGACAAGGTGAACAGGTGAACAGGTACAGCAGTGGTAGTCATTAGGCACTAGGTGGACAATGAACTATACAACTTGTAGATGGGAATGGGACAGGAAAACTGGGAGAGAGTAAGGGAAGTAGTGACACTGTCCAAAAAGAAATGTACTCTTTGCCTGACTTATGTAACTGTAACCCCTCTGTACATCACCTCTACAATAACAATAAAATATATTTTTAAAAGCATACAGGTATGATACAGAAGTTATTAGATAATACAGGATGTATTATCATTAACTAATTGTTTTCATTAAAAATGTATGGGGGGGGGGCTGGGAAGGTGGCTCAGTGGTAGAGTGCTTGCCTCGCATGCATGAGGCCCTGGTTTGATTCCTCAGCACCATATAAGCAGAAAAAAGCCAGAAGTGGTGCTGTGGCTCAAGTGGTAGGGTGCTAGCCTTGAGCTGAAGAGCTGAGGGATAGCGCCCATGCCCAGAGTTCAAGCCCCATGACTGACAAAAAAAGAATGGAAGCCAGGCACCAGTGGCTCATGCCTGTAATTGTAGCTACTCAAGAAGCTGAAATCTGAGGACTGTGGTTCACAACCAGCCCAGGCAGGAAAGTCCATGAGACTCTTATCTCCAATTACCACCAGAAAACCAAAAGTGACACTGTGGCTCAAGTGGTAGAGCACAATCCTTAAGCACAAAAGTGCAGGGACAGCACCCAGGCCCTGAGTTCAAGCCCCAGGACCACCACCAAAAAAAAAAAAAAAATTGCATTTAGTATTCAAATTCAAATAGAACTGAAGACGAGAGTATTAAACAGTCTCCCTGACATAAGAACTCCAATCAGCAGTTTGTTCCAGAGATCTACAATGTCTTTCTAGAATTATTACTTATTTATTGACAGAACTGGGGTTGGAACTTAGGGTCTTACCCTACCACTGAGCAAAGCCACCTTCAGCCAAGGCATATTCTATGTGTCCAAAAGCATTACTGTAAATATAAACATACAGATATTTAGGTAGATGTTCATCAAGTAGATTTTAGAGCACTGGATAAGCTCCAGTGAACCAAAGCTCACTGGAATGGTGTTTCATTATGAAAATGGAACTCTTAAGATCTCAAAATCCTTTTTCTTTTTCTTTTCTTGCCAGTTCTGGGCTTGAACTCTGGGCCTGGGTGCTGTCCTTGAGCCTCTTTGCACTCAAGGCTAGCACTCTACCACTTGAGGCATAGCCCCACTTTTGATTTGTCTGAGTAGTTTTTGGAGATAAGAGTCTCACGGACTTTCCTTCCCAGGCTGGCTTTGAACTGTGATCCTTAAAGCTCAGCCTCATGAAGTAGCCAGGATTACAAGTGTGAGCCAACAGTGCCCTACAAAAAAAATTTGTTTTTTGGTTGTGGGGCTTGAGCTCTGGGCCTGGGCACTGACCCTCAGCTCTTCAGTTCAAGGCTAGCGCTCTACCACTTGAGCCACAGCGCCACTTCCAGTTTTCTGATGATTTATTGGAGATAAGAGTCTCACGGACTTGCCTGCCTGTGCTGGCTTTGAACTATGATCCTCAGATCTCAGTCTCCTGAGTAGCTAGGATTACAGGCATGAGCCACTGGCACCCAGCAAATTTTTTAACTGTTTGTGTAATAAATATCTTAAAAGGGTTGACACTTTGGCTCAGTGATAAAGCGCTTGCCTACACTGTGTAAGGCCCCCCCATTCAATTTTCTCTGTACTTCTAGGGCACATGGTCTGTCATACTTCCTCAATGTAGCTACTACATCTTGAAAGTAGTCACAGATGTATGAACACACTTAATTCCAATAAAATTCTATTTACCAAAAAAAGGTGAGGGCAAGGATGGTAAGGGGAAACAAAGGAGGAGGCAACAATGCTTGATAAGAAATGTACTCATGGGGCTGGGAAGGTGGCTCAGTGGTAGAGCGCTTGCCTTGCATGCCTGAGGCCCTGGGTTCGATTCCTCAGCACCACATAAGAAAAAAAAAAAAAAAGCCAGAAGTGGCGCTGTAGCTCAAGTGGTAGAGCGCTAGCCTTGAGCTGAAGAGCTGAGGGACAGCACCCAGGCCCAAAGTTCAGGCCCCACGACCAGACCAAAAAAAAAAAAGAAATGTACTCATTACCTAGCTCATGTAATTGTAACCCCTATTTATGGTATTTTCACAATAAAAAATATATATATATAATTTTTTTAAAAGTCTACATTTTGCTGACCTTCCAAATAGTCTATGATTGTAAACTACCCTCCTTTAAAGTGGTGATATATAATCTTTTTCCTTTTTTTTTCTTTTTTTCTTTTTTTTTTGGTCGGCTATGGTATGGGGCTTAAACTCGGAACCTGGGTGCTGTCCCTGAGTTCTTTTGCTCAAAACTAGTGCTCTACCATTTTGAGGCACAGTGCCACTTTCAGTTTTTGAGTGGTAATCTGGAAATAAAAGTCTCATGGGGATTTTACTGCGTGGGCTAGTTTTGAACCATAATCCTCAGATCTCAGCCTCCTGAGCGGCTAAGATTACAGTTGTGAGCCACTGGAGCCCAGCTTGTAGTATTCTTATTTTCTAATAAATTAATAATATACTTCTCTTATTCTTGGCCCACTTCCTGTAACTTTAGGATTATACATTTTAAAGCAGGTATTGTCTAAATGTAGATAAACTCCACAGTTTTTGCTAGATTTTTATTTCTTGAGACAAGCTATTGTTATATAACCCAAGTTAGGCTTGAACTCCACTATGTAGCCCAGGCTATCTTTAAGCTTGTGATCCTCCTGCCTCTACTTCCCAAGTGCTTGAATTAACACACACATGCCAGTTTTGTATTTTTAAATAAATACATACGTTCCAGCAACCTTCTTTCCCACCACCAAGTCATTCAAAAAGGTATTTTTTACCTGTAGGCCAAGAAGGCTACAGGCCTCTGGTGTCCATGTTCATCAGTCATAGAGCCAACACTTGGAGGTTCAACAATAACATCATAAATTATTCCTGAATGTAAGACAATAGTACAGATTAGATTTAAATTTCTAATTTTTTTAAAAACAGGATTACAGTTTTCATTTCAGCTACTTACATTTCACTCCACTTACATTAAAGAAGCCTGCTTTGATCACATTATTATCATCAGATGAGGTCTAGCTACTCTTCTAAACATCCTAGAAACAACTCTGTTTTAGAATAACTTCTAAAAACCACTATCATCTCTAAAAGAGTTATCAATTTCATAAAAGAAAGTTACTCAGTAATACTTGCTAATATTCAAAGAATGACTTCATAGTAAGAAACGTTTAACATTAAAGGTTCTATTTTAGTTCACTAAAATGTCCCACATATCCCTGGACTTGTTTCTATAAATTGAGAGATATGCTAGAGACATTTTCTTGTGTAAATGTACATTTAAAAACACACCATCTGGCAGACAGGTGGTACTAGTGATTCACAGTTATTATATTAATGCCCATGGTTATGTCCCAGTCATGACTGTTAACATCTTCTCAAGTTCCACTGTCAATATCTACTTTTTACCTCCTCCACTGCTCTTAAACACCCTCAGGTCCTGCTTTTCTAAAGCCTTGCAGGCCTGTCTCTCTTGCCCTTGCCAGATAAAATAGTGATGCAATAATTCCCTTATCTTCTCAACCAATTTTCTTTTGGTGCCAGTACTGAGTCTTGAACTAAGGACCTGGAAGCTATCCCTTAGTTTTCACACCCAAGACTATCACTTGAGCCACTGCTCTATCGTTTTTTACTGGTTAATTGGAGATCAGTGTCACAAGCTTTTCTGCCCAGGTTGGCTTACACCCTCAATCCTCAGATCTCAGCCTGAGTAGCTAAGATTTCCAGGAGTAAGCCACTGGTGCCCTGCCTTCCCATCTATTCTGCAAATTCCTGGTACATGTACCTATCTCTCATCCTGTTGTCCCTCCCTTCAACAACGTGGGATCCTTCTCTGCAGTGATCAGGACTCCATGCCCCCTTACCTCTCAGGGACTTCATCCCTTTAGACATCTCTTTCTCCAGTTTCTTCCAGCTCTTCCTCATATCAACCCTCCCTTGTCTTAAGACCTTATACAATTTCAAGCCTTCCTTTTCTAAAGAAAACCAGACTTCTTTCTGAAAAAAATAAGCAAATTCACCCTTCAACTGCCACCATCAATGGTGCTCTTATGTAGGTCGCCAGGAACCTCCATGTTGCCAATTTCACTGGACAATTTTCAGCTACCATCTTCCCAGGAGCAGGCAGTCAATTATTAACATGTAACCCTTCTTACAGCTTCTGTGACACTCCCCATTTTCCTGCAACCTCCCTGAGGCTCCTCTTCTATATAACTACTAAATATCGGAGTCCCTCAAGGCTTGGTCCAAGTCCTTCTCCTTCTTATTCTTTCTTTTATTCAACTCCCAGAACTTTCCAGTCTACACATATCATGCCCCATGTGTATTATCCCTACTACCCAACCTACTACAGTCTAAGTAGACTTCCCAAACCACTCATTTATCCCTTGATCCTACCTTTATCCACACTTTTCCCTCTGCCTACCATGCCCTTGCCACTCCAAATTTGGGCTTACATGCTATTTCCTTAAAAATCATGTTCTATTCTAAATGATCCTCCTAACTCTATTATCTCAGTTATTCATCTTCTCCATTGCATTTGTGACAATTTGTAATGGCAAAAAATTATATATTTAACACACATCTGAATTATGATATAAGTGGGCAAGATCGTTATACTTGTTCAGTTATCTCTGAATAAATTGTTACTTTATAAATGTACACTCATCACATATGTGTGTGCCAGTATTGGGGCTTGAACTCAAGGCCTGGGCATCATCCCTTAGCTTTTAAGCTCAAGGTTGGCATTCTATGACTTGAGACATAGCTCCATTTATGAAGTTTTGCTGGTGAGTTAGAGATAACAATCTCAGACTCTTGAATAGTTAGGATTACAGGTGTGAGCCTGTACACTCTACACTATACACTCACAAAATTTTAGATGAGAATCCTTTCCAGTGATTAATTTCTGTACAAACTATTTCATAACCTTGACCACTAAAGATTGTCCTTCCACTTTCCACCCAGAGACTGAGACAGAGAATCTCTCCTACAAACACAGAAAACTAAGAGCCGGGGTGCAGGTGGCTCATGCCTGTAATCCTAGTTACTCAGGAGGCTGAGATCTGAGGATCCAGGATTAAAGCCAGCTCAGGCAGCAAAGTCCTTGCGATTCATATCCCCAATTAACCAGTAAAAAGCCCAGAGTTGGAGCTATGGTTCAAATGATAGAATGTCAGCCGTGAGTGAAAAAACTAAGGCCAGTACACAAGCCCTAAATTCAATCCCCAGCAGTGGCACACAAGGGCACACACAAGTATGCATGCATGCATACAAACACACACATACACATACACACACACACACACACACACACACACACACACACACACACTCTAATGCCTGCACACATTTGATCAGTTTCCTATTTCTCTTTCTTGGTAGCAAGTATTCTCATAGCCTATTTATGAAAATGACAATAAAATGACTATTCTCCTACAAGTAAAACCACTTCTGCTATCCTGAAGAGCTTTTCTTTTATATTCCAAGTTAAGTATACCACTGTCCAAACTCTAAAAGCAGTCCTTAGTAAATCTTAGGAATGGTAGCTTGGGAAGGAGGCTACTCAGAGGACTGCAGTCAGACTGCCAACTCACCACACCAGGCCACGCCCCTTAGCAATTTGCTACTTGAAAAAGGATGGAATGATAATCAAAAAACTCTTGACAGTAAAAACTGTCTTACTGATTCTCGTTTTTCTTAAAGATTCTCCACTTGTGGTTTTTGAAACACAGTGTCTTCTGCAAATCTCCTCTCCAGTCTCAGATACTGATCAAAAACTCGTGGTCTCAGGAGATCCCAATTCATACTAAGGTAGGTCGACCCAAGTGTCCTAAAGAAACCTAAGGATTGTCAACTCTCATCCAAGGTTCCAGAGGCCTGTTCATGAGGCCTCATGTTCATGAGACAAGGCCTGTTGGAAGATCTCTATCCAAGGTGGACTTATTGTCAGCAAGGCATATATTCATGATGCTAAATTAACAGAGGCAGAAAAAAAGTGAGAAAATGGCCAGCACAAGAGAGAAGTTAAAAGTCCCAGCCCGGTTGGCCCAGTGGGCTTTTATACCTGTAATCCTAACTACTCAGGAGGCTGAGATGGGAAGATGGCAGTTCGAAGCCTGTTATGGATTATCTTCCATTAACGAGCAAAAAAAAAAAAAAAAAAAAAAAGGCTAGGAGTGACTCAAGTGGTAGAGTGCTAGCCTTGGGTGCCCAGGCCTGCACGCACACACACACACACACACACACACAGAGAGAGGCAACCGTGGACTTCTCCGAGTCCTTTGACACCACAAGAATATCCACAGGAATAATTAAAAAGAAAAAAAAACCCATCCATCTGAACCTCAAAACATGCACAACTCGCGTCTCTGGTCTAAGAGACGAGGAGAGAACAGGAGTTCGTTCCCTCCAGACTTCGGACAGGACCTGAGGGCACAGAAACCTCCTGCACGTTGACCCCCGGGACCCCAGCGCCCCCCCCCCCCCCGCTCCGAGGGCAGGGCGCGGCCGCCCCTCCCCGGCCGGGGCCGGCGGGACCCCGGCGCCCCCCGGAGCTCGCCGGGCCCCGACCGCCCGAGTTACCTCCGGTGATGAGGAAGTAGGACACGACCACCAGCGCATACACCGTCATAGCCGACGGCATATGCACCCAGGGCGGCTTCTTCAGCTTCAGGTTGGGACATTCGAGCACCAAGAACGGGACCCGGTACAAGGCCTCCATGTTCGCGGCGGCAGGGCCAGCTGGCGGGCCTCCAGGCCCCCCCCCCCCCCCCCACGCGCCACCCGGAAGCAGGCCCGCCCTCCCTGACATCTGCGCAGGCGCAAAGAAAGACTCGGCAGGTCCGCGACGCTGGGAAGCAGGGTTCATATCTACAGAAGAAAAACAAAAGGAGTTAAAAACAATGCCTAGGGACATAACTAATATGTATATTTTCCTTCTTGTTTCGCGACTTCAGCTCGAAGGAGGAGCTCGATTTATTTTAATAGATAGTTGCTGGAGTATGTATCCTCAAGGACCTGCAGAGCTTCGGACGTGGCCCAGCCGGAGAAGCGGAGAGATTCAAATCCAACGGAGCCCCGCCCACTTGCTGACGCAAGAATCTTGGAAGATGATTGGACATTGCACGCTCCAGTTTCTCAGCCCTGAAGGATGAATGGAAAGGTTGGGCGAGAGTCGCCTTTTCCATAACTATTCCGCTTCCCCCACCACGAGACACTGAGAAACTAAGTTATTGGGATGATAACAATAATAATTGTTCATAATAGCTAACATGTTATCTAGGGTTGTTGTTGTTTTTGGTCAGTCCGGGGGCTTGAACTCAGGGTCTGGACACTGTCCCTGAGCTGCTTTTATTCAAGGCTAGTGCTCTGCCACTTGAGCCACAGCTCCAGTTCCAGCTTTGTCTGTGTATGTGGTACTGAGGAGTCGAACCCAGGGCTTCATGTACGCTAGGCAAGCACTCTTCCACTAAGCCACATTCCCAGCCCTATCTAGAGTTTAGAAAAGGAAAAAAAAAAAAAATCCAGCCCAGATCTATCACAAATATCAACAGGACCACTCCACAAGGATGCCTTCATGATGATACCATGGTAAGACTGAAATGTTCTTCTGAATAATGTTCTGTTCTCCCAACTTCGCTCCTTCCCTCAGACGTACCTAAAAGCACGATAACTAATAAATGGTGTATATATATATATATATATATATATATATATATATACATATGCATATAAAATCACCCAAAATTCTTTGAGTCGTCTTGATTTTTCCCCAGCTACATCCAAAATGTAATTGGCTCTTTGGGGCTGTAATACCACAATACCTGTAATTTATCTGCTTCTTTATATCATACTGCTACCACTGCAGTGGGAGCTAGGGCCTTCTGTCTGGGCTACACACAGGACACACAACAAATCTCTCGTTGGGAATGATCTTGATGGCCTGAAGTTTTTTGTTGTTGTCTTTTGGGGTGTGTGTGTGTGTGTGTGTGTGTGTGTGTGTGTGTGTGTGTGTGTGTGTGTGTGTGTGTGTGTGTGTGTGTGTGCGCACGCGCCAGTCCTGGGACTAACTCTGGACCTGAGTGTGTGTGTGTGTGTGTGTGTGTGTGTGTGCACGCGCCAGTCCTGGGACTAACTCTGGACCTGAGTACTGTCCCCGAGCTTCTTTTGCTCAAAGCTAACACCACTTACGGCTTTTTTGAGTAGTTTATTGGAGATAAGAGTCTCACAGTTTCCTGCCTGCAGTGGCTTCGAACTTATATAGTCTTTTAAAACTTCACAAATGTCCATTTCCATTTGAAGTAAGACTTTAAAATGACAGGTTCCATAAACCAGAACAAACTGACACTATGTTTTTGTCTTTTATTTGCTTACTAGTGAGCAAGGTACTATGAATAGGTTCTTCACCTTTATTTAGTTAATAACTTAATTACTGAGAAATGACTGGAAAGCATAATTATACCCATAATATTTATACCCAAATACAGAGACAAGAAAACTAATCTTTGACAAATGGGACTATGTCATTTCTAGGAGTCAGTGTTCTGTATCAAGTGAGGTATTCCAACAGAAAGGGTAATTGATGCATCTCACTAGTGCTCTAACCTAGGGAACCACTGAGGATTTTGGAGACAGCATGCCTCATTTGGTCATGCAATATTGACCCATTTACTGGGTAACCTAATAAGCTGCTAGATTTAAGTGGGACCCAGAACACACAAAGACTCTTGGCATGTGGACTGAGTAACTTACTGTATCCAACATGAAATGTTGGGATGTTAGGGATGTTCCATCATCTTTTGACAGCTCTCTATCAGTGAACCACAACACACAGCCTTAAGATTCTGGAACCAACTTGTTCCAAGTTCTATAGGAAAATTATCTCCCCTGAGAAATATCTTCTGGCTTGCTACTGTGCCTTCACAAAGACTATAGACCTTGGGCAACAAGTCACTGTGAAATCTGAATTACCCATGACCAGTTTAGCATTGTCTAATCCATAACTCATGTCTATGGCCACTGCTTCATTCGATCAGCAAATGCATATGTTAGGCACAAGCTCAAGTCCGTTTTGAAGATACAAGTGAGTTGTTTGAGAAATTGTGCAGATAGTGTACATAGTCCATATTTCTGCCACACTATCTTTTCTTTCCCAACCTACACATGCAACACTCTGGAGAAGACCCTAAGTCCAGTTGCTTGGTGAAGAAAAATTGAAGACCAGATTTACAGTTAGTTCTCCCCAGTGCAATAAAATTACCTGAAAGTAATTAGCTTTGCAGTATAGTCTCACTGTGGGGTAGTTTGGGGTTGAAAGTCAGGAAGGCTTAAATAATCCAATGGAAGGAATTCTAGTGGTGTACTCAGTTGTTCATTTTGCCTGAAAAGAATGATGGCAAGAGTTGCAAATCTCTAGGAATGCTTTGATGTATGGGTATCAGTGCATTGTTCACCAGGATGGTGAGGGTATGAATTAGAAACAACACAATTGGAAAGTTGTTGAGGAGGTCAAGGAAGAGAGGAATGAGCATTCAGGGAAGGGTGGTGCTAGTGAGAGTGCTATTCATTATTCATCTCTCCACCACTCACCAGGCAGAGACGAGCTCTGTCCTAACAGCTGAGGAATCCAAGATCACCAGTGCATGACTCCTTCAAGAAAATTACACAGCCAGGCATCGGTGGCTCACACTGTAAGCCCAACACCCAGAGGCTAAAGCAGGAGCTGATGGTAATGAGTTAGAGGCCAGGTGAAAGCTACAAACTCCCCTGTGAGGAAGAGACACACATGCCATCAAAAGTGGTGTATAATGACAGGAAGTTCACAGCCTAGACTTAAAAGAGAGTGAAGAGCTGAAGACAGCTGCCTTGGGAATCACGTGATGAGGAATAAAGCACCAAGCAGATACAGGAGATCAAAGGAGCTGGAGAGCCAAGGGAGCCTGAGCAGAGAAGCTGCAGGGTGGGAAGGAAGGTCAAGCAAGTCAGACAGAGTACAGCTAGAGGAAGGAAGCCATGGGTTAGATAATTGGGTTAGCAAGTGAGCATATTGTGACAAAGGCTCAGATTCGAATCTGCCTATTTATTAAGTGAATACTCACAAATGTTTGAATTAATTTATTAATGTCTGTTGTGTGGTGACAGGAGAGCCAGATTACAGAGGGGAGACAAAGCAGATGGGAATTTAAAAAATTATGACCACGCTGTGGTGGCTCACGCCTATAATCCTAGCTGCTCAGAAGGTAAGATCTGAGAATCACGGTTCAAAGCCAGCCTGGGCAGGAAAGTCCGTGAGACTCTTAACCACCACTGGAAGTGGTGCTGTGGTTCAAGTGGTAGAGCATTCATCTTGAGCTGAAGAACTCAGGGACAGCACCCAGGCATAGAGTTCAAGCCCCAGGACCAACCAAAAACAAAAATTATGGCCATGCATTAATATGGCATTTATCTACCCACCCCAGCCAGGTGTGGAGAGAAAGACAGCTGAGATGGTAGCACAAAAGAGGTTTTAAGATGGAGACTTGGGTTAGGCACTGGTGGTTTATGTCTGTAATCCTAGCTACTCAGGAGGGTGAGATCTGAGGACTGGAGTTCAAGGCCAGCTGGGCAGGAAAGTCCATGACACTGTTATCTACAATTAACAACCAAAAAAAGGCAGAAGCACAGCCCTGGCTGAAATGGTGGAGCCATAGCCTTGAGCAGAAGAGCGCAGGGACAATCTTGTATTTAAAAAATCCCACGGAAGCCGGGCGCTGGTGGCTCACGCCTGTAATCCTAGCTACTCAGGAGGCTGAGATCTGAGGATCACGGTTCAAAGCCAGCCCGGGCAGGAGAGACCGTGAGACTCCTATCTCCAATAAACCACCAGAAAACCGGAAGTGGCGCTGTAGCTCAAGTGGTAGAGCGCTCGCCTTGAGCTAAAGAGCTGAGGGACAGCGCCCAGGCCCAGAGTTCAGGCCCCACGACCGACAAAAAAAAAAAAAAAAATCCCACGGGCTCCACTCTCAAATTACTCAAGCTGTTTCAAAACTTTGGCAAAGTAACAGGGTATAAAATTAACCCTCAAAAAAATCAATGGCTTTTCTGTATGCCAACAATAAGAAAAGTGTGGCTGAAATTAGGAAAGCAACTCCATTCGTAATAGCCCTACATAAAAATAAAATACCTAGGAATTAACTTAACCAAAGAAGTGAAGGACCTCTATGATGAAAACTTTAAAAACCTGAAAAAAGGGGCTGGGAAGGTGGCTCAGTGGTAGAGCGCTTGCCTTGCATGCTGGAGGCCCTGGGTTCGATTCCTCAGCACCACATAAGCAAAAAGAAAAAAGCCGGAAGTGGCGCTGTGGCTCAAGTGGTAGAGCGCTAGCCTTGAGCTGAAGAGCTGAGGGACAGCACCCAGGCCCAGAGTTCAGGCCCCACGACTGGACCCCCCCCAAAAAAACAAAAAAATAAAAAAATAACCTGAAAAAGAAAATCAAAACAGAACTTAGAAAGTGGCAAAAACTCCCATGCTCCTGGATTGGAAAGATCAACATTGTGAAAATGGCAATACTTCCCAAGTATTGCCATTGGAATATTGATACTTATCAATATTCCAACCTCATTCTTCAAGGAAATAGAAGAGGCAATCCAAAAATTCATATGGAACAATAAAAGACCCTGAATAGTAAAAACGATCCTCAACAGAAAGAACAGTGCTGGAGGAATATCAATACCAAATTTCAAACTCTACTACAAAGCCATAGTAATCAAAACAGCTTGGTACTAGCACAAGAACAGACCT